TTGAAACGAAAATTTCAAACAGATACACAGTGGACCTTTAATGTAAATGGCACTGGGATTTGTACGATGCAAACAACTAACATTAAGCTTGAAAGCTTCTCTTTCCAAATGAAAAAACACCGTAATAATCGAGAGACTCGGCTAATGCAAAAATGAGAAAGTCTATCCAGGTTTTGTGTTTAGTTTCGTGGTAAGCAAGAACCATGCAAATTTCCTGTCTTCTTTCAAACGCAGTAAAAATGAAACTTTTGGAAATCGTCGAAATTATGTAAAAAACAGGAAGACGTTCTCTAAATACTAATAAATAAAATAATAAATAGATTTTAGATGTTTACATAATTTTATATTTTTATAACTGAGCCTAAATAGAAATTTTAGGAATGTAATAAATATTTAATAAATTCGACAGTGATTTTATTAACTTTGATAGAAATTCATTTGTATTCACTTGTAGTAAAATTATTGTTATGAATAATTTGTGATACTTTTTACAAGCTTATTTAGAACTATTTACTGTAAAAACTTACAAACATTTACAAGCAATCTTGAGTTGCTTGAGTAAATGATAGTTTACATCGCTGTAAACAATATATGGAGGCTATAGTAGAACAGCAGGAGATGTCAGAGGGGCTGCAAAAAAGTGGCTCCTGCTTGAAATTTGCAAATCGCAGAAGTTGTGGCACGACAAAAACTTCACAGTGTCGGACATGAACAAACCTCGCCGAGTCTAAAAAATGAATTCACCGAGTAAAGGCGAGGCAGCTGGTTGCACGGTCATACATTTCGGACGAAAGGATCCGCTTTTTCCCTTTTTCTTTCCCACGCATAAGTATTGCATGCGACCACGAAGGACGCCAGCATCCTCGTTTAATACTTCACGGCGGAAGTAATGCATTCACGGCCTCTTTAATATTACTAATTCAGTAAAAGCAAGAACGATCCTCTGTTAGGACATAGCAAAGTACTGTAGAACGAGAGAAACGAAACATAATTTTACTTGTAATTAACACGACGTTAAAATTGTCTGATTCGACACTGCAATGGTCGAGATGACAAATTCGCAATTTTTCGTGGAAATTTTCTAGTTTTTTTTTTTCGAAAATAAAATACTTTTCTAGATTTTACACTAATTTTCTTATTCCTTATACTCTGATACGAGTTTCATCTTCTGTGGTTCAGACTTTGTCAATATATCGTATCAATTCACTCCGCCTCCTATTAATATTTTTTTGAATGTTGTAGTTATATATTTAAGTATTCAAAGACATCATAAAAGTCCTGAAATTTTAGTGGAGGAAAGTAAAATTGGAGAGACGATGTTAACAGAGGTCGAAGTGTTATTCTTTTCGTACTATTAGAACATTCTAACAGTGTTAAATAAAAAAGAGTTGTATCGTTAATGAGAATGTCATTTATTTGTCATCTTATAAATTTCATTTTCGTAATCCTCTCAAACATGAGGGGATGAAGCTGAAGAGCTTCGTACGTGAACCAGTTCACTTTGAATTTCGATAGAGGAAGAGAGTGAAGGGTTCCGTGTCGGTCAAAATTTCTAGATAAATACAACCGGCGTTAATAAACTCTTATCGGCGTGCAACCATGCGTGTTGACTTTAAACCACAGACGCGTTAATCCTCTATGCTAATTTTCGGCGACCAGGAAAACGGCGGCTATAATACCACCCTTTTAGACACGTGTGAGAGGGAACGCAGCCATATACAAGAATGATGTCTATACTTATGTACTCGCAAAAGGGCATATAATATTCAAATACTACCATTTTGAAATTTTAGGAGAAAATGTATGAATTATCGTAGGAAGTTTCAGTCAGCGAAAAGAATTGAAAAAAATGAGTTATTATTTGTAATTATTTGTATTCTTAATTAATCTTCATTGAAAAGATTGTGTATTAGTTTTGCTTTATTAATACAATTATTCGTTTATTTCTGAAATAAGTTTGAAAGTTATTGTTTTTAAGATTTTTTTAATTTTGGGGATCAATGAACTTCTTAATTTTTATTAAACGATTAAATTTAATTGTGACAATTTATTACTATAATTAGAAATACTTAACACTATTAAATGATAATAGTGCTAAGCATTAAGCATTAAGAACAATAAGAAAAAAACAATATAGAATGTTACATAATAGTTTTAATTCTCAATTTCGATCATAAAATGTACTTATAAAATTTTAATAGTAGATTTAGTTTGTCAAACTTGTTCCAATGGCATGGAGAAGTAGTTAAATAACTACAAAGGATAAAGAGAACGTATAACAGAATGTATAAAAAGTTATTTAAGCAATTTACATGACGTTGTTACCGAGAAATTTTATATTTTCCTATTAAGTTGAGCAACTTTTAATCGAAACACCTGTTCAACTCGTTAGACTCGTTAAAACTTGAGAAGTTATAGCCCCTGTTATTTGATTACAGGTTACGTCTGACAATTGGTAGTCTGTGTCTACTTGCTCGTCTAAATTGCGCCTTTGTCCTGCATTCCAATGACTTTTTGCACTTTGATAAATTTTTTTAATTCCAAACGTTCGTCCGTTTATTTAATTTGAAGCAAATCACTAATAAATTAATAAAAATGAATCAGTGTATCACAGTGATATACGGAAAATTAACAATTTATATATTTAAATTTCTTTTTATTTATACATTTTAATATTTCATTACGTTTTCAAATGCTGAACAACTCATTTGAAATGTATACATACAACCGTGTTTTTTAATCATAATTAATTCAGCAAGCAGTTTAGAAGTATAGCAAGATTTGTTTAGTTACATAAAAATGTTTTTGTTACATTCATACATTTGATTACATAATTTATATGTTATATCATTATCATGTCATTTTATGTAACATAATAAAATAACGTTTTGCGCAGAATGCATGTAACGTGGACAAGTATATATCTATAAAATATCCAAATATTCAAAGCGTTTTTACACAATTTTAGTTAGTTCTGTTTTTTAATTATGTTCTCAAAAATATAAATTTTCGTGGAACTTGGCAGTCCAATAAACATATTATACACTCGTGTCTACTTGTATTGTATTTAGTCTTCATTGGTCTGGCTGTGCACGTACGACTAATACTACTATCGAAAAAGCTAATAAATCTCTTTATTTGTAATCATGAATGCACAACGCTCAAGTACTTGAACTTAATATTCTTTATTACATACATCTCAGTTTGTCATTTCCAATACATTTGTAAAATACATGTTCGTTGTATAATTCCAAAACTTACATGGTCCATACAACACTAGAACTATAATTAACACTTTAACTTCTTTTAAGTTCCCTCGACGTTTATCTAACGCGGATCTATCCAATTGAAATTAACCGCTAAAAGCGAAGATATTTAATATCCAACGTCCTGCGTAATCACGATACAGAGAATAAAAAAAGAATCTAAGCTACGAGCACCACTAACAATAATA